TCAAGGAAGAAGATGATGAATTACCAAATAGCAATGTCAAGAGGATAGACACGCTGTGGGTGTTAAGAGGAAGGTGAGGTCAGTGTGGACAAGGTTGGCCAGGGAAGTCTTTGTGCCAATGGTGGATGTAGAACTCTACTCCACTTTAAAGCTATAAGTGCCAACGATCAAATCAGTTATCCCCAAATGGCAAAAGCCCCGGTAGATGTTTGAATAGGATGGTGGTGCAGGTATGACAATCTGAAGACCTGGGTTCGTTCTGGTTCAGAAAGACTATTGAACAGAGAAGCCTCCATTTTCTCATCTGTAGAATGGGTGTAATAAATGCCCTCACTACCATCCAGACTAAGTGAAATAATGTGAATCATGGTGTAAATTATAACTCAAGTAATAAGCAAGTTGTTGCTAATGATGATGATGTATTATGATTTTAGGAATATAATTTTGCATATAGAGATACTGCTGAACTTTAAGGGCTCAAATGGCAATTTAAACATCTATACATAGTTTATAAAGAAGAGTTGGAGGTGTGGGAAGTTAACTGTGGATATGAAATCACAACATGCCGGTGACCAATTAGCACACGCATAACCTTGGTTTGAGGTCTTGTTAAAAGCAGGGTGGGGTGCCTGGGTGGCTCAGTCAATTAAGTGCCTGCCTTCAGCTCAGGTCATGATCCTGGAGTCCCAGGATCGAGCCCAACTTCGGGCTCTGTGCTCACTGGGGAGTCTGCTTCTCCCTCTGCCCCTCACACCACTCATGCTCTCTCACTCTGTTCTCTCTCTCTCAAATAAATAAAAATCTTAAAAAAAAGCAAGGTGAAGGCATTTTTTAAAAATATTATAACTAATACAGGTATTACCTTTCTACATATATTTCCATTTTCCCCTAACAGTGAGGATAATTTGCTCACAATGTCCAAAATAAACATTACATTTTTAATCTGAACGTATAGAGATTGCACATCGCATGCTGCATAGAACACAGTGTATATTGAATGAAGGAGCTTTCTGAATTTACAATGCAATCTGGTAACTGTTTCTAATTTGGGGGATGGGGAACATTTTTTCCCCTCTTCATTTTGATGGAAAATGCTTGGTGTATTTGTAGTGGGATCAAAATACACACAGTATGAATCAAACGTACATAAATAAAAAAATAAAGGTACATCTTCCTTAGTTTTTCGGCACGAGCTCATCTTGCTCAGAGACCCTGTTTATATTGAGAGGATGGGCATCTTTTCCTTGACAATTTCTGTTCTCTCCAGGGTAACAGGGTTTCTTGGGGGGTAAATACTGAGTCCATTCAAAGCTCAAACCCTCTTTCAGAACAATTTCTCCCCTTTGAAGAATTTCCCTCTCCTCTTCTTTTGGTCTGGACTGGAGGACTGTGTGGAGGCAGAAGAGTGAGACGAACCCCAGGTTGCCCTCGGCAGCCCCTATCCTGCTGCTGAGGAGTGGGCTCCCGGAGTTCTGCTGTTCATGGTGGGGTAATTAGCCCCATCCTTGGATATCATGCTAGTGCTCCCTGCTGATGGGCAGGGACCTGTCCCACGGCCTCCATGGGTCTGTGGATCCTACACTCTGTCCTTAGGCCTCCCACCACCAGATGGTCCCCTTGGCACTTATCTCCTCCCTTTTCCCCCAGGCCTACCCTCTCCTTACCACCTTAGCACCACACCGCTGTGTGAGCCCCCCGGGACCTGGGGTGGCCCCAAGCCAACCCATTCCTTCAGGTCAAGATTGCTGGAAATCTCCAAGAACTGGCTATATTCTAAACTCACGCTGTGTTCCCAGGCTCCCCCCAAACTTCTCTAATTGTCCTTATGCTCAGGTCTGGCCTTGGCCCTTCTCCTGTACCTCTCCTCTGGCTCCTTTCTGCAGCCCAGGAAAGCTTCCGTGGGCTTTAGTGAATTAGTCCCTTCCCGGAGCTAAGAGCCTCCTGTCTCTCCCTTCAACCCCAGAACCAGTCCTCCAACCTCCAGCCCATCAGACGGCACATGTTTTCTTTTTAACCTTTTTTTTTTTTCTCAGCAAGGTCTGACTTTTGCAAAACAGGAGTGTTTGTTTGCAGACCTTTGTCTAACTGTAATCTTTTAAGATCCATTTTTAAACAAAGTGCAATGGTGCTTCTCATTCTCATTGAATTCTGTCTATGGATCCAATGGGTAGTGATTTCTGGGACATTTAGGAAAAAAAGGAATTACTAAAAAAGATAATGACTTGACATCTCAAAATGTTATTTCTGTTACAGATGTTTAAAGTATTTCGGTAGTTGTGACACTACCGTGAAGTGGGTGATGGCGACATCAGTCCCCTGGTTGGGACGGGCTTGGTCATTCATTCTGCAACTTAAATGTTCCCAGGTTATGAGTCACTCACAAAATATTTGTTCAACAGCTACTTCATTCCAGACATGGGAGAAGTAGACCATGTTTTTACAATTGGTTGTTAAACAAGCCATAGGTAAACCACCCAACATGAAGATTAATGGGATAGGAATACAGGTAGAATTTTAGAGGCCCCAAACAGTGGAAAACCCTGGAAAAGGAGTGAAGTAGGGCCTTGTCAGAACAGTGCGCCACAGCTTGAAGCCAAAAGTGAATACTCTAGGAACCAGAGAAAAGTGCCTTTCACCTTCAGGGATCAGAACAAAACTAAAAGGCTCCCGGCAGTTTGCCATGTGCAGTGAAGGAGCAAGTCCCAGGAGATCCAGCCCAAGAGGGAAGAGAGGAAAGCAGGGCAGGGAGGGACCCTACCTATTTTGAACCAGAAGATGTAGTAACCAGTCCAATTCAGAAAAGTATCTTTTTCTGATGACTTATTGTACTGTTAGCATTTGGGATTTCTTCCCCCCTTGGTTTTTGGTTGTTATGACTTTTGCTTGCAGGAAACTTGAAGCCACTGGTGAATAAATGTTCAAGGAGAAATGGGGATCCCTAGACCTTCAGTTATTTCTGGGGCCAGCTGCCATTTCCGGATTCCAGGGAGATGTGGATACTGATGTGGGAAAGCCCAGCAGGTTAGGGTTCAGATGGATGATCGGGGACACCATCATCCTTTTTGCTTGAATGACTTGGTACAAGCAATTTTAATAAAAATCATGCATGTGCTGTGTAATGTCTATACACATGTCAGTATAATGTTTTCTTCCTTAGAAACAGCGGAGCTCGGGCGCCTGGGTGGCTCAGTTGGTTAAGCGACTGCCTTCGGCTCAGGTCATGATCCGGAGTCCCAGGATCGAGTCCCACGTCGGGCTCCCTGCTCAGCAAGGGAGCCTGCTTCTCCCTCTGACCCTCCCCCCCTCATGTACTCTCTCTCTCATTCTCTTTCTCTCAAATAAATAAATAAATCTTTAAAAAAAAAAAGAAAGAAAGAAACAGCGGAGCTCTACCAGCCCATGGTTGCTGACACTCTCCTGGTAGATGTGACTAATAATGTCCTTCTGGCAAAGTGGACCCAATACTAAGCTAGTTGCTTCACCCACACTAGAATAGACTCATATGGGGGAAGATATTTTTAGTTTAAAGTTTGGGGTATGGACGTCTTCGGTACTTAATTGCAAGGAATTAATCTATAGACCTGCCCTGTTCAATATAATAGTCACTGCCATGTGTGGCTCTTTAAATTTAAGCTAATTATAATTAAATTGAACTAAAGTTCAGTCATATTAGCCACAGTTTTAAGTGCTCAATAGCCACATGTAGCCAGTGGCACATTATTATATTGGGCATTGCGAGTACAGATTTCTATCACCACAGAAAATTCTACTGAGCCAACTAGTACAGACCGTAGTGCCAGAATGTGGCTGGAAGAGAACAATGGCTCAGGACATTTGCTGTGGGTGTTGCTTTTTTTTTTTTTTAAGATATATGCATGTATGTGTGTATTAATTAATTAATTTATTTATATAGAGAGAAAGCAGACAAGCCAGGGGAGGGGCAGAGGGAGAGAGGAGAGAAGCAGCCTCCGCACTGAGCGCAGAGCCCCATGTGGGCCCATGCAGGCTTGATCCTATGACCCTGAGATCAGGGCTTGAGCCAAAACCAAGAGTCGGAAGCTTAACCGACTGAGCCACCCAGGGGCCCCTATTGGTGTTACTTTTTAATAGCACAGTTTGGGAGTAGAACTAGAGGTGAAAAGAAGAGAAAAACATCATTATCTTTCCCAGAAATGAGGCCCAATCGTTCCCTTCACCCCAACTGAAGTTTTGTGGGATGGCACTGTGAATTTGGAAACTGAAGAGGGAACTTGGAGAAATCAGCTGTGTTTAAACACTAGCATCCATAAGTCAGCCTTCTTGATGCTTGGCTGAGCCAATGCCCTCAGCAGGCAGGATGGTCTGCCGCGCCAGCTCCGTCCTATGGTAAGTCCCACTGGGCTCAAGTCCACTTGCTCTGTTCACTAGCTGTACTACTGTGGACAAACTTGTGTTTGACATCTCTGATCTTGAACTGCATGTCTTATAAAGGGAAAATAATTGTGCCCATTTACAAGCATTTCAGGTAGAGCCAATGAAAACATACACAAAATATTTGGCACATAGTAGGGAGACATAAAAAAAAATTTCCAGTTGAGAGATTGATCTTATTTAAAGAATACAGGTAAACATATTAGATTTTTAATCTCACTGAAACCTTAGTTATAAAAAGATCAGGTCATAAACACTTTAGAAAATGTATGTAAATATTTACCAGGATCTTTGTATGTCACAGGACTTTTCAAGTTTAAAGGTACTGAGGAACAGAGAAAACTGATCTTTTTTTTTTTCCAAAATTCAGTGCCATATGGTGTATTTATTGCAGGCTTGAATGAGAATCGAAGAAATTCAGACAATTAAGGTTAATACCCATATATGATTATTAAGCCTGGCAAAATACAGAGATCATTGAAATAGACATTTTAAATGAATAGGAGTTTTATAAAATTACACAGATCTTCCAAGTGATCATAAATCAGTTCTCATTACAGGTACTTAAAGCAATTAAAAAGTCACACAAATTACACTTTTAAGGTTACAGTGTTTAATGTTTATCACGTTAAATTTCTACAACTAGCAAGGTAACATAGGAGCTCCTAGGACTCAGATCACATCCTAGGGAATATTTGCGTGGCGATCCCAATGACGCCACAAACAAAATGACTCCCGGCGTTTCCCATCTGTGTACTTTCTTCATTGCCACCTTAGCCCAAGTCATCTCATTTCTCGTGGACCACCACTGGGCAGCCAATGATGGAATGGTCTCCTGAGAGTGTGATCAGAGAATCTTCCAAGGGCATGGTGGCCACACCATCCTTGCCAGCAGTCACATTGCCCAGGTCTCCAGCATGCCTCTTTTGATCTTTTGGTCCACCGTGTTTTTTGGATAGAGGATTAAAGTGAGGACCTGCACTGGTACAGCCTTGGGTATTATCTCCAAACTGATGGATGTGGAATCCTTGTTCGCCTTCAGTCAATCCTGTAATGGTTCCTGACACCACAACAGGCCCACTTCCCTTCTGCACGAAGTGGATGGTGCCTTCCACCGGGCCCTGGCCCTTCAGGACGCACATGGCCTTCATCTCCATGACCGGCGAGGCCGCGCTCCAGTCCGGGCTCCGAAGGCCGTGAGGACTCTGAAGGCAGGGGAGGACGCCACAGAAGACGCCGATGCCGAAAACTGATAAATTTGATAACATATTTTTTTTAACTTCTGTGCAACAAGCCAACTACATACACCAAATTAAAAGGCAAACTGGGGAATATATTTTCAACCAACATGATAAACAAAATGTTATTATATTTGATTTTTCAAAATAAATGGTGATAAAAAATCTATGAGAAATACCTCAATACGAGGAAAAAAAAAAGGATGGTATGTTGCATAGAACTAGAAATAAAAATTGTCAACAAACGAAAAACATTTCAATGTTATAAATTTAAAATATGCAAATTAAAATAACCGAAGATTCTTCTCTTTTTTTTTTGGTCGGTAAATGTAGTGATAAAAAAATAAATAATGCATACATATCAGGAGAGACACATGAAACAGAGACTCATGCCATACTCAGAATAGTAATTGTGAGATGAGGATGTAAATTTTTAGATAGCCCGGCAATATATTTTTGTTTGGCTTATTTACTAATTGCTGGTTGTCTCTTGGTCCTGTGTCAAGGACTGAGCCTAGAGAGCTCAGACCATACAGTTCCTTTCACAGCATAGAAAAGATTTCCTTTTGGCCTATTATAGTTAGGCCATATGGTTCTCCTACCTTAAGAAGAGGAATTCCAGCCAGGGAGGGGAGGTGCCAAGTCAATGCCTTCCTGCCTAGGGGATTATGGGAAGGAAGAAGGAATAGGAAGATTATGGAAGTCTATTGTCAGGGTTCTTATTCTCTTGAACTTAGTCCATTTTTGAGGCAGGATTGTTAGGGCAGCAGTAAAGTGACATGGTAGAAACTTCAGGAAGGCATAGAGGAACTGGAGAACAGGATGCCAGTAGTGAGTATGGTGCCATGACCACTTGGTCACAAGTCTTAGTGTTGCACTGCTAGATGGAATTGTCTAGGCCAGAGGGTCAAGGGGGTGGCCCTGTTTGCTGACAACTTGGCAAAGAGATAAAGGAATGTTTTTGAGGACTAGTGCACCAGAGGCCTGAGGCTGGGGATTTAGGCCAGAAGCAAATGACCAGGCCTTCAGGGTTAGGTTGGAGCACAATGCTTGGGGATTAGGCTGGATAGGAATATAAAGTGCTTAACACAGTGTTTGACACACAGGGCATGTTAATTATCATAATAACAACAAGAATAAGGTCAATTTTTGCGTGATATTAAAATGTTTATAAATAATTTTTATCATATGAAGAAATGCTTAGGTTATTACATTTTTAAAGAAAGAATGCAGATTTTGTACCTTTAATATTATATATGCACAAAAAGAACCATAAAGAAACATACCATAGTTTTTATAGTGTATCTGTAAGAGGTGATGTTATATATACTTCATAAATCTGCCAATATTTATCCATTTTACTGTTGGTGGACATTGGGACTGTTTTCAGTTTGGGGCTGTTCTGAATAATGCTGCTACAAACATTCATGTCCACGTCTTTTCATTTGCAAGAGCACACATTTCTGTTGGGTTTGAACCTAGAAGTAGAATATCCAGATCCTCCAGTATGTATACATTTAGCTGCTTTAGCAGTAATGCCAACCAATTTTCCAAAGTGATTATATGAATTTCCACACTCACCAACAGCTTAGGAGAGTTCCCATTGCTGTACATTTTAATGAACACTCGGTATTATCAGTGATTTTAATCTTAGCCCTTTGGGTGGGTGTGTAGTGCTATCTTAGGATGGCTAATTGCATATCCCTGTTGACTAATGAGGTTAAGCCCCGTTTCATGTGTTGTCTGGCCTTTTGTGAGTGCCTGTTTGAGTCTCTCACCCATTTTCTTATGTGATATTTTACAATCATAAAAAATGTTATTTCAACAAACAAAATGAATTAATCACATTTTGCCCTGCCCTTAATATCATTTATACAAGTAATCTGACTGTGGGGTACCATCTTAATGGGCTCTCCAAAAATGGGCCACCAACCTTAAATAGACATTGTTCTGTTTCTTTCTGAAAGTGCTTGTCATTTTATCCATTGTTTATTGTTATTTATGCACCTATCTTATGTCTTCTACTAGACCATTAATTCTCAAACAATGGCAACTTTTCTGATTCCCCTTTGTACAATGCACCCAGCACTGTGCACTACACACAGTAAAAGCTTTTTAGACAAACAGGAATGCATATGGGAATGCAAAATTCTAATAATCTAATAATCTAATCTACCCTTTCTTTTCAAAGGTGACCAAATTGAGGTCCAGAAACCTGAGTCCAAGGTAGGGGTAGGGCAAATACCTTGATCCCTGGTCCATCCATGTTGTCCTTACACTACACTATGTTCGAAGAGATGAGGAGAAGATAAACAATAAATTATAGGTGTCACTGCCTCCAAATGTACACCACAGAAGCTCCTTCAACTAAATAATTTCTAAACTTAGACTAAAACTATTCTAGAGAGGACATGTTCAAGTGTATCTACACCAAAAGATGGCATCAACAATCATGCACAGTAAGTTTGTGCCATTGTGTTTTTCTTTTTTTGGATGGGGTTTGGTTGCCAAAATGTTTCAGGATCACCACTTACAGAAATATGTCACTGTGACAAACACATAAGTACAGACAATACACTGAAAATGGCAAACATTGAAAGAAATTGGAAGAATTTCTGGACAGTGGGAAATATTCTAAAGGGCAGAGAGTGAATCATGCAATCTCTGAAAAATGGTATATCTGTACATACCTCAATAATCAGCAATAGAGCAAATAAAGGACTGATGAAATGGAAATATACAAGGTGGGTTGGGCCAACTATAGCAAATATGATGATCAGCCATACTCTTGAGTTCATGCCTAAGATCCAAGGCCATTTACCCCACTAAAATATAGCAAATGAAGCAAGAAGTGAAGGATCTCACAGCCATACCTGGAGCACATCCCAGCGGATATTCTGATAACAATTCAAACTCCTTCCAGGCTTGTTTCCTGCCTCAGAGAGGAAATGGAAGATCCAGCAAGGGGTTTCCAGAGCCCACTGAAGGGGACCAGAACATGCCACCCCAAAATATGCTGCTTTGGCATTTTGATTATTTTGAGCTGAAGGCAATTGTGAAACAGCAGATGCAGGAAGTTTCTCTGCCCTCCTCTTCTCTGCCCAAAAGGCATAAATTTCCCATAAATAAGGTACCCTCCTGGTACCAGAAAGAAGAGACTATTCTTATCACTGGAGACAAGAGTCAATGCTGAGATGAATCTGCACAAACAAACCTTATTAAAAGGTTTAGTTAGTTTCCCCCATCTATTTCCTAGTCACTCTCCTAGAAGCCCAAGCCCCTTTCCTTCATCTAGTCCCTTTATAATTTAGTGCCCTTTGCTAAAATGGTATATAAGCTCCTGAGTCGTCTTCTTTTTTTTTTTTTTAAAGATTTTATTTATTTGAGAGAGAGAGAGAATGAGAGATAGAAAGCATGAGAGGGAAGAGGGTCAGAGGGAGAAGCAGACTCCCTGCTGAGCAGGAAGCCCGACGTGGGACTCGATCCCGGGACTCCAGGATCATGACCTGAGCCGAAGGCAGTTGCTTAACCAACTGAGCCACCCAGGCGCCCGCTCCTGAGTCTTCTTTGGGAGTTTTCATTTCTTTCTTATAAAATCCTCCCTTATCACATTAAAATAGTAACATCAAATACATTTGTATGTATTTCTCCTGTGAATCTGTCTTTTGTCACGCAGGGGAGGAAAAATTCTCCTCTAGGCTCTTTGGATGTCTTAGGCTGGGCCTAAGAATTAAGCTGATGTAAGACAGGTTAACACATTTATGGGAGCCTTCACAAAAGAATGAAAGCCAGAAGAAGAGGCCAGAGCAGGAGGCTAATATACCTTTTAGATAGAGAAACAATCCATTTGTGAAGAATTGACAAGGCAGAGGGGTTAGGCTTTGGGTACTAAGTTGTGGGGAAGTAACCAGGAAGATAAGGGCTAGTTTAACAAGGTTTGTTAATACAGACTTCTTGGCCCCAAATTCCCTGTCTCTGGCCATACACATGTCTTCCTTCCTCTTGGTATGGGGAGGGCATCTTTCATGTGGGAGTTTTATCTCCCACTTTCAGGAAGAAAAAGGAGAATCAGAGTGTCCTTTTTGTACCTGCTGTTTCTTAAGTGCCTAGAATTCAAAATAATCAATATGCCGAAGTGGCATATTTTGGGATGACATACTCTGGTTTACTTCAGTTGGTTTAATTCACAGCCTTTCCTCTGTGTAAGAGTAGAGGAAAAGTTATTCCTTCCCTACACCATACAATACCCTCTAGGAATGTGGGCTTCAAGAGGTAGAGAGGTCAGTCAGCCTACCTTTATATTAATGTCATGTCATGGTCAGTTTAGCCTTGGGATTTTCCCAAGGTTAGAAGGTTCCTGGTTGGCGTCTTAGAGACTCTGCGGGACCTTTTGTCCTTGGCAGCCATGTAGTGGAAAGTACTGGAGGGATCAGGATCAAAGCTCAGCATTAGGCTTGTGGTGGCAGAAATACAATAGGATCCACCAGGCTACCCAGACAAGGCATGGAGGCTAGATACCCAGTAGCCTAAGGTCAATTTAGGCAAAGTCTAGACTGCGGGCTTAATAACCTCAAACTTAAGCATGGTAAAAATGTGACTGAGGTTTTCATAAATTTAACACCTGTTGGCATTTGCATAACATCAAAATGTGGTTGCTAAGGGGATTCATAGAACACTGGGAAGATCATCAAGCGAGATACCATTTTCCTCAACAGATCTCTATTTCAGTTGAAGTTGTTTTCTTTCAGACAAAGGATGTCTAATGCAACTGTAACATATCCAAGTATAGAGGATGAGAGTATGTCCAATTCTGAAACAGGAAAGAAATCATTCCCACTTCTATTTGGTGGAAATACGTTAAGGAGCCAGACAATAGTAAACACCCTTTGGTCTCTTTTTACTTATAAACAACAAGCGATGAATCCACTTTTGCAACCTAAGCTGTTTGTGAGTAGAACTCCCACATTGGAAATGTTTGCAAATGCTTTCCCACCTCAGATACAAAACCGGTTTCTCATAGCAGTGACCTAACTTGAGAGTGGAGAGACTGGACCTTATGA